GTGTTCTGTCTGGTGGGGCGTCGGCCCTAATGGTTTTAGGGCAGTTTCTTTCATCTTCACAACTAGCTGTGGGTGATTTCATGGAAACTTCTAGAACTGTCAAATTTTGGAAAACTTGCATCAAGTTTCTTTTCCAAGCGGGCCCTTGCACGTTACATCTACTGTTTCCGCCACTGCTCTAGGTTTGTGTCTCACAAACACAGAAACTCTCGGGGCACGGGGTGACTCCATGGGTCAAGCCTCTGCCTTCGGCTCGGGTCATGATCCCAGGTCCTGGGACTCCTCACTCTGTGCTTATTGTCTCTCGGCTGCCAACCGTCAGCCAGGTTTCATGCAGTCGTCCGTAACCTCTTCGCCTCAAGCTGAAGTCCTTCTCTCAGGAACTCCTTTAAATGCTGGCCGACCGACACTATAATTCCTGTTGCCTGCAGCCCCGTAAGCAATAAAAAATTGACTTATTCACCACAGATAATAGTTACATAATAAAAAGTGTTTTTGTCCTAACCCAAAAGAAACAAAAATTGGGGGAAAACAAAAAACTGGAGTCGGCCAGGCTGCAGACATCCATACTTCCGGGGGTCCTTCTTCATTGGCTTTCAGACCACCTACCACGACCGACTCCACGCAGGGGTGACGTCAAACCAATGTCTTCTCATCTGGAAAGAGAACCGGCCCCTATAAATGCTTTCCAAAGCCTTGCAACGGTCCCGCAAGAAGCAGAAGGGTGCAGGGGTTGGGTTCACCGTGCGGCTTTGCCACGCGGTTGTCATTCGGGGGGAGGGAGAGAGAAAGCCTCAGCGAGGAGGCGGACAGTCTGTCTGCTCGTGGTCCAGGGAGAAGGTGGGAAACCACGGAAGAAAAGTGCCTGCTTTCTCCCGGGCATCAGTCCTGGTTTGGACATCAAAGAACTGAATTATCTACTGAGGGTATTTTAACTAATGAGTGAAAGGACGATCTTGCAGAACGGAGGGCTGGGCGGGAGCTGGACGGGGCACCACAGAACAGCGCTCAGACACGGACGAGTCTCCGCCTCCGCCTCCCACTCATGAAGGTCAAGAGCCCAAGTGACGCGCACCGGACTGACCAGCGAGTGTCTGTCTCGGGCTGAGCCTCCGGGATGTGGAAACGCTGTCTTGATCTCGCTGGGGGTTTTACAAGCAGATGTACGTGCAAACCTTCATCAAGATGTACGCTTGAGATCTGTGAACTCACGGAGTCTGACAGCTCCACACAAGTAGTTTCCCAGCAGACGCCCATGATCGGAAGCTGAGTTCCAGCGAGTGCTCCGGACGGAGGGGCTTGCCATGCTCAGCCTCCCTCTGTGGGCACGAAGCCTTCAGGAAAAAAGGCACCATGGCTTGGTTTTAGGATCACTGCGCAGCGGTCACGCGTCCCCCCAAGCCGGCCCCAGGGCCCAGTGCAGCAGAGGCTGTGATGGTTTGAAAGAGGCGTCAGGAACCCAGAAGCTGCAAGATCTAAATGCTGCTCCTCACAGAACGTTCTCCCTCCACTGCCAGCCGACAAGGATCTGTGTGCGACTCTGCTGATGGAAACAGGGGTTTCCCTCACAGCCCCTTCTGCACACTGTGGTACTCGAGATCCAAGACCCTAACCGCAGCCTAAGAACCAAGATGCATGAGGCATTACCAGGCAGACAAGCCGAGCAGTGGGACAATGAGCGCGTCCCCAGTAGGACCCTGCGCGTCTGCACGGCACGGAGACAGTCTCCACGAGTCAGGCAGAGATGTCTGTCCAGCTGGAGCGGGACTTGGGCTTCGCACAGGATCTAGCCCGTATGTTGGATCCTCCAATGGGGAAGTCTTTACCTCATGGGATGATCTCAGTCCCTTTTCTAGGCTAGACCAGTCATGCGTGCTAACAAACCTGGGTGGCCCACTGAGTGACAGGAAGCACCTGGAAGCACCTGGCCTGGGTATGCTGGGTGAGGTGTTTGGTGACAAGGCTGACTCACCTGGAAAGGGGAGGGCTAGTGGAGCCACACAGACCAAACAAAGGTCCCAAAAGGGAAGACACCTTCACAGACCAGGCTTTGCTCAAAGAATTGTATTAGCTCTTTATTTCATTTTTATTTTTTTAAAGATTTATTTATTGATTTGAGAGAGAGAGAGAGAGTGCAGGGGGAAGGGGTAGAGGGAAAAGGCGAGAACCCCCAGCAAACCCCATGCTGAACACAGAGCTGAAAGCAGGGCTCAGTGTCACAACCTGAGATCACGACCTGAGCCGAAACCAAGAGCCGCCCATGTGCCTCATTCGGGTGGGATTTAAGTTTCTCTAAAATTCAGCGTGACAGGCCTAGATCCCTGGTGTGGCATCCGTGTTGTTCACGAGCTGGGGAAAGAGGGCGGCTGAGCAAGGAGCTGGTACAAAGGCTCCAAGGTTTGTCTAGGACGTCAGCGACTCCGTCATTCATGAATGACTTCAGCAACCAAGGGCTGCTCTCCCAGGCAGGAATGAGCCTGCACTATCTGGAGAAACCACCAGAAAGCACATTGCTCTGGCTGCACTGGGGACACCAGGCAAGGAGAGGCCCTTGGGGCAGAATTAGCGGTCACGTCCCGTGTTTCACAACCGTCGTGGGTTCCCGGCTGGTGACACATAATCACCCCAAACTCGGCTGAGGCTTATGCTGTCGCTGTGCAGAGGACCCAATCCCCTGAGCAAGATGGATGGAAAAAGCAGAAGGTGATCAGCTTCTCTCTGCTCTGACCTGAGCCACATTTCCCGTCCAGTCCTGGCTGCGGGGAGGGGGGCAGAAAGGGCAAGACGAGACACCGGTCCGTGGACCTCACTGAGCTTGCTAAGCTGCGGACGCATGACCAACGGCTTCAGTGACCAGGGCAGGACCCTTGCCAGGCCTCCTGGGTAGCTGGAGGCTACCATTGCCTGAACTCCTAACAGACAAGAAACAGCCGCTTTTGCAAACTTACCAAAATAGCATCTTGCAGAGATGCTAATACATGAATATCTTAATGGCCTCTTATGCTGTCACAGGGGACCCAGGGAACCGAAAACACTCCTGCCACAGGGGCCTGTGGAACAGGCGCTCTTCCGAGAGCAGCGGTGTCGGTACTCTGGGCTCAGTCACTCATCCATCAGTTAGGGACCTGGAGCGCTGCGCAGGCAGCCCCGAGAGCATAAAGCGGCTTCCCGGGACCCCACGCGGCTGGAGGGGCGTTGTTTCGAGAGCTCCGGGTCCGAGAATGGGCGGGCACCGGAAGACCAGGCAGTGCTAGCCACAGCCTGGCGAGGGTCCCTCGCGTGGGGAAAGAGCCAAGGACTCAGTGGCGTGCTGTGTGGACACCCAGACTACGGCCTGGCGTGCGGTGGGCGTGCGTGGGCTCCCTGCAGGCTCTGAGCAGAACCCTCTCCCACGCTTCAGGGACGCCCATGGGACCACTCCGTCCACTGGCTGGTAACAACCGGGGAGAGCCAGGCATCACGCAGGTCTGGAAACTTCACTCTGGGCGTGACCAGCGCAGCCCGCGGCGGTACAAAAGGGAAAAGGCAAGCGGAGGAAACACTGACTTTGCGCACTGGCGCCAGGACTGCTGTAGCACCAGCCTTCACTGAGGCGGAGGCTGGAACTCCGGCCTGGAATGAGGCTCCTGCAGCACTTACCGCTCCGTTTCTCTTTTCCAGGCAAGTCGGCTCCAAACCTGGCTCTGCGGCTGACCTCCGGGGCACTTGCTGGCACGCGGATTCCGGGACTCGGACCCTAAAGATTTTAATCCAGGAGGGACGGAGCGTGCCCAGGACTGTGCTCTAACAGGTGCTCCTGGTCACCGTGGCACAGGGGATCCATGGAGCGGTACTTGGAAGGAACAGCTCGAGCCCACACTGTCTCCACGGCATCCATCGCCGAGACGGGCTGTGGCTCAACTGGGAGCCTGGGGGAGCACCCAGCATGTTCTGGGCTCCCCACACTGACCTACTCGCGTGTGCCTGACACGTATCTCCGAGCTCTGCCTCCCCACGGGCCCCACAGCTGTCATTCTAGCACACAGGCACGGCACAGCAACGGCACTCAGTTTATTGGGCACCTACTAGGGACAAGGCACAGTTCCAGGTGCTGCGGGGTACAAAGACAGAAGGCTAGCCCTCGCCCTCAAGGGCTCACAGTCTAGTGGGAGAGAGACACGCTCACAGGCAAACAAAAACACGGCTGGATCGGGCGAGCTCCAGAACAGAGGCAGGACCCGTGGGGAGGCAGGCAGCCGGGCAAGGTCACGTGTGCCGAGGCACATCGGGGGTTTGACGGGGCCTCCGGCCAGTCCCCGGGGGATGGGCAGGATTCACAAGGACGGGGCTGTCCAGAGAAGGACGTCTCAGGCACAGGGGAAGGCAGAGAGGTGGGAGGGTCCACTGACATGTCGGCCGCTCCTGGGGTGATGAAGGGAACTGAAGCTGGGAGCGTGGGCTGAGGCCAGGAGGTCGGGGGGTCCTCCTGGTCGGGGTAGGACTTCGTTCTGTGGGCAACGGTGAGCCACGGAAGGTTTCTGAGCAAGGGAAGGACACGATCTCACTTCCTCAATTCCAGGCGCACTGCTGTAACACACGATGGCCTCTTGGGGACTTCGCTCCAGGGCTTGCACCCTCTCTTGGTCTCCAAGCAGCAACCCCGGGGCCGCAGAGACTTCCCAGGGCTGCCCGAGGCCGGGAAGGCACAGTGCAGGGAGAGGTGCAGCTCACCAAAGACCTTCACACCACCTCCACGGAACAGGAAGCAGAAGTGAGGCCTTCTAGAATCATCTGAAAGTAAGCAGCAGGGCCAAGGGAGGTGCCCTGAGAACCCCAGTTACGTGAGCATGTCACCGACGGGCTGCTGAGAAGACGGCTGTGGGACAAGAAACAGGGAGCATCACCAAACTAAACCACCTCCCAGAACCCCTGCACCCTGCACTCACTGGGTGGGGAGACGCGGCCGTCTAACTCACTGGACACAGAGGTGGGGCTTCTAAATGCTCTATACAGACAAGGCTCTCCGCTGACCCCCCCAGGATCCGGCCTACCCATCCAGCGAGGAGGGAGAATGGCGCCCCCCACCCCCCGGGCCACCCCAGCCTGAGAAGGGATGTGAGGCCACAGCTGTCCAGGTGGACACGGCGATGCTGGTCAGCGAGGGCTCCCCCAGAGCCTCAGCACCCGCTGAACTGGGTGCCTGGGCGGAGAGGGGTGAAGTCACAGCTGGGCTCCCCAGAAGAAATGTCCCCGGGGAGCTGGCGTGCACGTCTGGGCCAGGCCCGGCAGGACCCCCGCCGCCGTTGCTGATGGTCCACAGGCACGGGTAGGGGCTGCAGAGAGACACAGAATGCTGAGGACGCGGCCAGCAGACCCAGCCAGCTGCCCAGCACGCACACTGCGCCAGGAGGCCCAGGCCTAGGAAGACGGCGCCTCGCCACGGCTTTCTGGCTCTGACACAGCACGGCCCTGTTTCCGCGGAGCAGCGGAAGCGAGCGGCGACACGCCGCAGAATGAGCATGGAATTAGGTGCCCTGACCTGAATTTCCCCGGCCCTGCCACGGCACATCTGATTTTGAACACAGGGTTTCACTCGGGGAGCCCCACCCTGCAGCCTGCGTGGACGGCCGGGAGAGCCAAAGGGGGGCGGATGTGGAAGGCCAGGCCTGCAGGGGGACCTCAGACTGGCAAGAGGGCTGACGGGGCGTAGCCGGGACACACAGGCGTCAGAAGACCCGGGTCGGCCTCCCGCCCTGCGCCTTACGGCCTCCACGGCCTCACCTTCAAGACTGGGGGTCGCCCTCACGCACAGGGATCAGAGGCCGGCTGCGACTGGAGGAAGAGGGGCGCGGGCGATGCCCGGCCCGCGGCACCCAGGAAGGGCGGCACCTGTAACGAACTCTCGCACTCCCGGGCTGCACCCAACGGCTCTGCTCCCCAGCAGAGAGGCTGGGAGCTAGACCACCGCCTCGGACCTCTCCCATTTGCAAGTCCTGGCCACAAACCTGGCTGCGCCGGGGAATCACGAGGCAAGTTCCGAAATAACACCGATGCCTGGGGCCTGCCGCCACACACCTGACTCGACCCATCTGGCCTGTGGCCCGGGGATCAGGGCTCTTTAAAGCTTTCCAGCGGATCGTAATTTTTGCTCCCGAACACAGACGAACATGCCTGCTGCTGCAGCGGGTGGGATAAACGCCAACGCTCTCGGCCTTCCGGCGTCCCTACGTCCTGACATTAGAATCCTGCCTCTTCTGATACAGCCCTGCCTGAGAAGAGGCTCGGCACACGCCGACAGTCCTGGGCACGTTTGCTGTTCTCTAGCAAAATCCTTACGGAGCCGGTCGTCAGTTAAACACGCCACTGAGGGAACAAGAGGGAGAAATGCGCCCTGTGCTCTGCGCCCCAGTCCAGAGACTACAGACCTCCCGGGGCCACAGGAAACGCACAGAAGGCCAGGCTCTGGGGCTGTCTGTCTGTCTGGGTGTTAGCCAGCTCGGCTGGCTGGGATTTGAGGCCGGACCTCCAGAAGAGACGTTTCCACAACATCGCTCAGGGCGGGCCCCTTCTGATGCCTCCCGCCCGGTGGGAAAGCCGTGCGCTCATTACACACTCAGTGCATGACCTTCGGGACGTTTTTAATGCCTCGGAGCTGTAGTTTCTCCAGTGGTAAAACAGGAATTTGAATGCCAGCCTTGCGGATGTTTTGGATACTGTAAATGACTTCTGTGAAGTATGGAGGACAGAACTTGCCACAGGGTTATCTAATATCTTCAAGGGCTCACTGTCTCCCCTCCTACCACAACCCAAATCCATGCTTTTTCCTTAGATAACCCACTCGAGCACTGTCCAATAGATACAAAACGTGACCACAACTGCAAGACTAAATTGCCTAGTAGCTACATATTTCACAAAAATAAAAAAAGAAGGAAGAAAAGGAGGGAGGAAGGAAGGAAAGAAAAAGAAAAATGCGGCTTATATTTAGGTTTTATGGAACCAAAGATATTTAAAATACTATCATTTCAACATGGTTTTGAGGTAAAAAGAGAAAAAAAAGAGTTGAGCTTTTTAAGGCTCTGTTTTTTGCTCCATCTTCAAGCTAGTGTGTGTGTGTTTCCAGCACACACATCCCCGCCCGGGACCGGCTCCGTCTCCAGGGCTCAGTGGCCACCAGTGGCCGGGGCAGCTGCGTGGGGCAGCACAGCGCTGGACCCCAAGCACCAAGGCAGCATCAGTATCAAAACCCCCAAGGCCAAGCGTACAACACCCACAGCTTGTCAAAGGGCAGAAGCGCAAGCTCCAACCCAGACCTGTCATCAGATCCTGCATTTTAACAACATCCCAGGTGGTTCTAACTCTTGTTCGAGCATGAGCAGCCGTGCTGTAGACCCAAATGCTACGATCTCCTAACGTCTGCTAGACCGGCAAACCACACACATCCTTAGACATCTTCCGAGACCCACCTTTGCATGTGGAATCCCTTTCTGGACCTCCTCACCATCGGCACACCTATGTTGAAAGTACAGCTGGCGCTTCTGTAGCACGTTACCACTCACGAAGCATTTTAGTGCCTTTTCTCCTCCTGGGCTCCTCATGACCCAGAGCAGCCCCTATTGTTTCCGCTTTAGCGACCAGAACGCTGGAGCTCAGTGAGGCCAAGAAAACTGCCCGAAGACACAAAGTCAGTAAGGGACAGAACCAGGACTAACGCCCACGTCCACCAAACTCCAAGGTCCCTTTCTGTCCTCTCTCCCCTCATCTCCAGAAGCCCGAACAAAACACAGGTCTCTGGTGTGCAGGTTACGCCGCGGCTCCTATGTGCTACACTCTGCTCTGTCACCTGGGCTGCGGGCAGACACCCACAGCCTGTCCCTCTGGTAGGACGGGTGGTTTATGACAACACGGACAGCCCAGCATCTTGAATTCTCAGTACCTAGAGACACTTTCTCCTTCCGTCCTCCCACAGTCGGTGTCTATCTGCCACACCACAGTTCACACCATTTCTGGCTGGTTCAGGACAAACGACTCCAGGCCATAAAGTCTTTTCCCTTTTCAAAACCGAACACTGAAGCATACAGCGGAGCAAGTGCTTTCCCCTCCCTCGTCTCTGGGAGAGGAAAGTCCATCCTCTTGCTCCCCGCACTTGCCAGTGGCTTAAGAGTCAGGACAACGACTCCGCAGCGAAGCCACCATCGGAAAGAGAACGGACTTGGGTCTCCAGCACCCGCATCACCCCCGGGACCACCGAGGAGCAAAGCTGCCAGTGCTGGTCTTACCTAGGCCCTGGGTTGAGCGGGCCGCTGGTATGCGGGACGGACAGGATGCTGGTGTGCGGCGTGGAGGACAAGGAGGTCCAGCTGTCCACTCCGGAGAACACCGGCAGGTTGCTGCTGGAGCTTTCCATCAAGTTCACTTTGGGGAAAGGACAACAGTTGAGTGGACAGAGCGCGGAGAACAGACAAAGACGGCGGCTGAGGACCCGCCTCATGGCGACACACCCACGGTCTGTGCTACTGGTGCCGGGAGTTTGTGGGTACTTGCGGAGGGAAACCGAAGAGACACGGTCTCCCAGACACACCGAGTGCCCACCGTAGGCCACCCGGTGCTCATGTTTTAATCGTCACCGCAGTGACCTGTCCTCCCCACTGTACAGAGGAGGCCGGGAGGGGAGGGACGGTCCACCACTGGTGACCAGACCCGCCGGACGCGCACCACCACGCGCTCTCCCGTTGAAGAAGGGGCACGTCAGCGTCTCCTCAACACCAGCCGAAGGGCCCGCCGGAGCCCCAGACAGAATTTCTGAGGACCAGCCCCTTCCTCTTCTCAGCAACCCCAAGTAACGTGAAACCCCGCAAGCACAGCGCCTGCGAGCCTCCGTCTGCATGAACAGTGCGGACATGAGGGAGAGGAAGGAGGGGAAGAGGAGAGCGAGGAGGAAGTTTCTGGAGCCTACCGCCTGGCTGGCCCAGTCACGCCTCCTCAGGACTGGGCCCTCCCCCTCCGTTCCAGACCCGCCCCTCAGCCACCCCGGGCCTCTCCCCGCTGTGCCTCTGCCCGCACCACTCTTCCCTGGAGTGCCCCGGGCCTCTCGTGGGTCCCCTGCCGTCCACCCTCACTCCCGTCCACTGCCACCGCTTTCCCCTTCTGCGCATCCCACAGATCTCAGCTCCAGCCAGAGCCCCTGTGGGCGGCTCCGCGGCTCTTTCTCCCCCCCTGGCACCGCACCGCGGCTGGTGAGGGTCACAGACTTTCCCCAACCTCACTGTGCCCGCGCGTCATCCCGGGCCCTTGTTAAAGCGTCGACTCTTTCAGAAGGAGAACCCAAGAGCCTACACTTGTAACAAGCAAGGTGCTGCCACGGGTCCGAGCACCATGGGAGAGCCCCCGCGACGGCGTGCCCCGCTCTGTCATTTACGCGTCCGTGTAGCCCCGAGCTTCCTCATGCAAGAGACTGTCCCCCCATCACCGTCCCCACCCCCCACTGGCGCCAGCTAGAAGAGGGCCTGGCGCCCAGCGGGTGCTCAGAAGCTGTTTTCTGTGCTGACCGAGGAGGGACGCAGTGAGAACACAGCCCACTTTCTGATGCCACGAAGCTCCATGTTATGTCTTCCCGGCAGAGGCTTTCAAGGTTGCTGGGAGCAGCATGCGAAGGGACGCAGACAGCAGGTGACCGGGAAGGCCCTCTGCAGACAGCTCGGGGCGTCCCGAAGGATGGAACCTTAACGCTTCTCCTCCATGTCCCCTGCCACCTATCTAACCTCTCTCTGTCGTCTAGTGTCGCTCTCCCCACAGGAGACCAGAGTCTCTGTCAGGCTGGGTGTTTGTCTAATCCGCTCGCAGACAGAACCCAGCACACAGTCAGCCCTCAGGAAATCTCTGTCGCACCATCACCGAATGAGAAATCAGCCCTTGGCTTCCCTTCTCCCTTCCTCCCTCCCCACATATCTAACAAGCAGGCAAGGGTCTGGGCTTCTGCAAGGCCAAGGCCGGCTCGGTGGGGGTCAGTGAGGAAGAAAGCGCACCAAGGCCAGCGGCAGCTCCGCAAATAAGCAAGTAAGCAGATACACTGCCGATGTGCCCGAGGCCAGCCCTGTGCGCCCCCAGCCGAACCATGCGGAAGTCTGGCTGCAGGGTGGCCCAGCTCCCAGAGCCCTTCCTACGAGCCCTCCAGTACTGGGCCCACTCCGCCCTGGGCAGAGCCGCGGCATACGAGTGCAGAAAGGAGCCACGGGGAGGCGGTGAGCTGAGGACCCCGGGTCCCCCCAGCTTGGCTTTTGGAGACGCAGCTTGAAATGCTGAGTCCACCAGCAGCCTGGGAGGAGGCCCATCACATCTATCAGGGACCAGGAGATGGTCTTATGAAAAAATCATAAAACACAGATAATGTCATGATTATATACTCAACTACTGGTGAGTAAAATAAGACATTAAAATAACAATACACAAAACTGTTGTGTATAATTGATGAAAGCGATGCCACCTTCGGATACATCTTGTTACTACCAGCTGTTTACTGTCTCCCGCACCAGCCCCACCCCTCACCCCCAGGGGCTTCATCAGCAAAACCACGCACCTGAGGGAGAATGGTTTCTATGCACGTAGGCCGAAGGGTAGGGAGCCTGCCGGTGCCCCCGCAGGCCAGGGTAGTGCTCACAGCCGTGGTGGGTGTGGGGCGCAGACAGAGGCAAGGGGGCAGCATACTGGTAATTGGCAGCTCCTGCTGCGCACACTCCATCCGGGTTGGAAAAGATCCAGCCTCCCACTGGAAGAGACAAGAGGAAGGTTTGGACCGACCCTGAACTTGCACACCAGAAGTCAGGTCTCCAGTCCCTTCACATACTGCGCCTCTGTGTGACACTACAGGTCTGCCCCGGGGAGACGGAGGCCACCCCGCTGTCCCTCCCCTTCCACGGCAGCAGCGTGGCTGGCTGCTTAGGACAAGGCCCGCAGCTGCTCTCGAGGCTCGGGAAGCTGCGAGGGGAATGTCTGTGCACAGAGCTGTGCAAAAGACCCTTCGAGTGAGGAAATTACGGGAATGAGAAAGTTAGGTTGCTTCTGACTCACTTGAGTTAAATTAAAAGTCAGTCTGAGACGGGGATGTCAGATGTCTGTGTCATCCCCAGCCACTAGGGAACCTTTAGTGTGCTTCACGGGAACAAGGGTCTCTTTCTGCCCAGGGGGAAGGTGTCTGCAGTTCTCACTCCCAGCCAGAGCCACGATGGCTCCCCTCACCACCCCCCACCAGAGGCATCTGGAAGCAAAACGTGGGGAGCTGGCTAGCACAGCCTGACATAAGAATCTTGCAGAACATTCTGGAAGGTTATACAACAGTTCACAGAAATTTGTTTTTGAATGGAAAAGACAAGAAACAGAAAGAAAAGGCACCCAAATTGGAAAGAAAGAAAGAAAATGTTCTTGATGCAGGTGTCCAGTGGGCAAAGCCAGGCATGGGGTCTCCCAGAACCAGGCTCCTGCGCCCTTGGCCCGCTGGAGACATTCGCTGAGAAGATGGCAACACGAAGGCTTAGTACAGGTGGGGCTCAGCACACGGGGCCAGTACTAGTACAAAAGGCTCATTTTCCAGCTCGCTTGAAAAAGTGCTTTTCTTTCTTCCTTCCCCTTTTTTTTTTTTTAAGTGCTTTTCTGCAAGCTGTTCCCTTGCCACTCTGCAGTGGAACACGCACCAAGGCTTACGGGAAGGAGCCAGGAGAGAACCCCAGAACCCCAGAGCAGGACGACAGCAGGTGCCCGAGCGAGCAAACCACTACGATTCTCATTCAAATTTCTCTGATGCCAGGGTTAACCTTCCGCCCTGACCTCACTGGCCTGGGCCTCCGCTGCGGCTTCAGGGCCTTCCTCCCTCAGGGGGTCTCCCCCGCCATCCAGACATGGGGAGGCCGGCGCCCGGTGAGGGACCCCCAGTATCTGCAGGGTCCCCAGCCGTGTATCACTCACCCCACCCTGTGGCCGTCCAGTCAGCCACCCAGAGTCCTCCCCACGGGCAAGACCGGAGCCTGCCTGAAGCACTGTGGTGGGAACCAACTCGAAAACGGGCAAACACTAAGAACAGGGCCGACCCAGGCCAGACCGCCAAGAGTGGAGAGTGGAGAGGCAGGGGAGACTCCCAGAATGCACTTGGGACAGTCCTCAGCCTCTGGGACATGGAAAGTCCAGTCTGAGAACTCTATCTCCCGCCCCAGCTTCGGTCCAACCGCTCAGGAACACGGGTTCTCTTTGGGAATCCTGGAAGGGCACACACTGGTCTTGAGTGGAAGAAACGACCTACTGAGTCTTGAGAGAAGCTGTGGAACAGTCCCTGAGCATCTGCGACAGGAAGGGTCTGAGTGTGGTGGCAGGTGGCTCCCAGGGTCCCCAGGGAACCCCCCACCCGGCGTTCACCCGACTCACGGTGAGAGCAGGCCACGCGCTGGCTCTCGGACACAGCTTCGGGAGCGTCTCTGAGGTGACTCCTGGAACACAGGAAGTGCGCCCGGGCTGTCCAGCGGAACACAAGTCCAGCGGGACGTCTACCCCACGCTCCCTCTGGAAAGCAATCCCTTTCTTGGAATAAGAAAACCAGACACCTCTGGTCTCAGATGTCTGCCCCCTTCACCCAGGGTGCTTCATCTAGCATGCGATCCCCCTCAGAGCACCACCTATGGTCACGCCGATTTGCCCTGTTTCCCGCTGTCCCACTTAGTTGGCTCTCTCTCACTTGTGGTCACTGCTTCTGCCTGACGGAACTCCGGCGCCAACAGCAGCTGGGGTTTGCGCAGGACTTCGGGGCACGGGCGAATCTGGGATAGGCTAGACCCACCAATAACCCTGCCAGAAAAATACTGCTAGACCCACTTAGCAGATGGAAAAAGCGGGTCTCAGAGAGGCAGCATGGCCAACAGCCAGGGAACGGCAGAGCCAGGACCCAAGTCAGGACGACCTGCTTGTCCTGTTCATCTCACATCTGAGGTTTCCCTTGGGCTTTAGTTATCGGAAATTAAGTTAAATCAAATACTAACAGGACAAAGTCCATCAATCGAAGTCAATTAGGTAATATCATTCTTTTATTTTTTTTTTCTAGAATGGAAAAGGAAAACACGAAGCTGGGGAGTCACTAGCCTAAGTGGTAGCGTCACCATTCACCATCCCAGAAGTCTCGGAACCGGCAAGAGCAGAAACTACACTTGATCTTAGCCAAAAGGCCCAGAAGAGATCATTAGCAGTCTCTGAATGGTCTTCCCTCAGACCTGAAAGATAGGAGCTCTCACCTTTATGACCTACTTATACGAATCACTCACCTCTCCTGGGCTACATGTAGTTAAAAAAAAAAAAAAAATTATTGAAACTGCACCACTCAGAGAGAATTGGAGGAAGGGCAGAGTGATCATTAAAACTAAATCACGGGGCGCCTGGGTGGCTCCGTGGGTTAAGCCTCTGCCTTCGGCTCAGGTCATGGTCTCAGGGTCCTGGGATCAAGCCCCGCATCGGGCTCTCTGCTTAGCAGGGAGCCTGCTTCCCCCTCTCTCTCTGCCTGCCTCTCTGCCTACTTGTGATCACTCTGTCAAATAAATAAATAAAATCTTTAAAAAAAAACCACGCAAAATCTGCCTATGTTACTTTCAAGAATCGGTAATAAAAGAGAGCTGAGCAAACATTGCCAGTTAGAGGTTCCCCTGGAGCCCTGCTCCCAGGCACAGATGATTAGGAGTTTGTTGAATATGGAATTAAATGTCACAAACCTATTTCTATCAAAGGTAATGCAAGTTCCTTCCAAGATGAGCATAAATTTCACATTTGCAGACATCAGCTCATGCGATTTTACTGAAATTTCTCTACTCACCTTTCCTTGGCATCCAAGAAGGCTTTGGCAAAAGGGTTGTACTTGATTTTGAGAGCTGTTATCTTCCGTTTACAAAGACAAGAAGTGTTAGTGAAAGTGGAACATACATGAACAAACGGAACCCTTTACCTTCACCTGGGAACTTCTGTAACATCGGAATAACCCCTTTCTCTTGCTCTCCCTCTCCACATTTCTTTGCTCAGTTCTGCACGAAATTACTTGTGCACGGTCTGTGACAGCGCTGTGCTGTAGCCCGTGGTGAAAATGGGAAACACAGTGGGATATGAGCAAAGAGAGGGCAAAGCATTAGAAATGTGCAAAGCCTGAAGTGCTAACCCTACCATTCCTTCTTTTGTTTATTCATTCTTTTCTTTTTTAAATATATTGAGCACGCCCTCACCTAAGCTACTCTTCTAAGAAGTCACCAGGAACACGGTCAGTCATGCAGGTTTGAGTCCATGTCTCCCGGAGAGCACGGTCCAGCCTCACTCCCTGAGTCTCAGTGATCACTTCCTCAGTGATTCGGGTCACAGAAACACAGTGTATCGCTCCCAGCCGCTGGCACTCCATCCCACGGCCTTTGCCGGCTTCCCTCTTCGGAGCCAGCGGCCACCATATACAACGTCTATTAGCTAATGGCCTCTCCCCGTGGGCTATACGGACTTGAGGACAGCACCCACACCTGTGATGCCCACCGCGGTGTTCCCAGCAGGCAGTCCTAGTCAACAAATCTTTGCTCAATAAAAAAGCATTGAAAAGAATGTTTATTTCAGCAAGGGCCTGGTAGAAAGAGGAAAAGTTAAATAAAAGCACCACTCTTTCCGACCCAGGAACGGGGAAGAAATCAGAAGAGGGCGGGTCTGATGCACCTGTCCCCGTCTTTCTCCTGGTCTAAACCTGGAGAGGTCAAGGGGCGCAGTGAGACCAGCACTGACCCACAGGCCTGCCCCTCTTGGGTGCATCAGCGCCAACCCAGCAGGAAAGTGCTGGCACCAGAGAGAGGCTCTAAGGTTGGGTTTTCTTGGGCTTGAGTCCCACAGGGCATAATCAAGGCTGAGACAGGCCATCGGGCAGCTAGGACAGGGTCTCCAGCACCCCGACACACACAAACATGCACTCTCCAGAGTTGCAAAACCACACCCCCTCAAAGACCTCCCTCCAAGGGAGAGAAGCAGGAGAGGGTGGGCCATCTTGAACACAGCATGTTTTCGCCTACAAAGACCGCACCTGTTGAAATGATCAAATATTTAACCTCTGTTCCCACCGGCTGCTAGAGGGGCTCAGCCAAGAGGCCAGACTACATAAAGGAAAGAAATTACATTTTCTCTGCCCATCTGTGATCCAAGTGCAATCAGCAGCTCAGTTTAACCTGTAGGCTTCCCTAAGTAGTTTCCAAGCCCAGATGCTCATCAGAATCCTTTGGGGAGAATTTAGAGACTCTCGACCCCGGGTACCAGCCCTGGGGATTCAGACTCGGAAAGCTGGGAAGGAGCCCAAATTCTTTAAAAGCCTCCAAAAAAGAAATGCAGATGAAGGCAGCAACAAGACACCTTCTGGGTCTATTTTGGTATGGGGGGTGTGTTTTGTTTTCTTCACTAACAGGTTATCAAAGCCCCTGGGAACGGTGCGGGCACTGAGAGGAGTAGCTCTCCGCCGGCGATGTGGGGCACCTAAGCCCCTGCTCTCCCTGGAGCTATGCCATTGCTAGGAGTTCACCAGCAAGCCAGCGGCAGTGCATGTGGACGCCCGGGGCACACCCTGCAGCGTTATCTCCAACAGCCCATGAGACGACTGTGAACGGCCCACTGCCCAGCAGTGGCAGCTGATGGCCTGAAACACGGGTGTCCTCTGTGGGCACGTCAGAAAAAGAGGTACGCCTGGAAAAAGAGAGAAATCTGCAGACTAACATGTAGACACGAGCCGATGCATGCGAGGAAGTCCGCATTCTCACGTCTGCTTACAGACGCGAATACTGTGCGGAAAAGCACACTCGAAGCTCCTATGTGTCTTGTGCTCGGGGAGCGGGTCGAGACGCAGGAGAGGAAGGTCAGTTCTACTTCCTTTTCTTTCTCGCTGAACATACTTCTGTGCTATTTATTTATTCCGCGGGCGTTTCTTTAATAAACATGTATTATTCTAAAAAGAATTTTTTTTAAGTTGAGTCAGAAAGAATCCGACCCACCGCAGCGCTTCTGCGGACGCGCAGGCCCAGGACGCTCTCGAGTGAGCCGACCGGCCCGGTCGCGGCGCCCCGGCGAACGGCAGAGGCCGGGGCTGGCTCCTCGCCTCGAAGGGCAGGGGCTCCCCGCGCGGGGCGGCCGAGGGCACACGGGGCCCGGACGACGGAGACCCCGGGCGTCTGGGGCTTCCGCGCGGCGCACGAGCGCACCTTCCTGGGCCCGCGGGGGAAGCACCGGCCGCTGGCAGACAGGCAAGAGCCGGTGGGAGGGTGACCCCGCCGTTTAACCGCGTCTCTGCAGACGGCGGAGACCTGCGAAGCCGCCGCCCGCCCACGCGCGCCCTCCCCGCCCCCCGGGCACGCGCCCGCGCGCACCTCCTCGTTCTGATAGGCCGTGACGGCGATGAACTGGGTCTCGGGGAAGGAGCAGTTCGCCACCATCCGATGCGCGCCCCCGACCCGCACGATGTGCACCTGCGGCTCGTACTTGTGCAGAGAATTCAGCATGATCTGTGGGGGCGGAGAAGCAGAGGACAGAGGCCCGCGGACGCTGCAGCCCGGCCCGGCCCGCCAGGGGTGGCCCGCGGTGACACGGCCGGCCAGAAGGCTGTTGTGGAGAGTCGCTCTCTGCCCGGCCCCGGCTGCCCTCTCACTCCCCGCTGTTTTCAGAACAACGCAGGAGGACTTGGTCGGTGAAGACATCCTGGTCTTCACAGGGGACCGGACATCTCCCACGTCACCACCTGCAGACAGAGGGCACCGGACACCGCCCGCCACACGGCATCCGCTCTCGGCGACCCAGCGGAGCCCGACTGCAGGTCTTAGGCCGTGAGGCGGGGGAGGAGGAACTGCTTACGGGTCAACGACTTTCAGTAAAGCCCCGGAACCTTCCGGCGGCCAGGGCGGCGACGGCGCATCTCCTCCTGCCGAAGCCTGAGCTCCGGGGTCCCGCAGGCTAAGCTCGCGAGTCAGAGGAGGCGCGAGGAGCCGGGACCCAGAGGCTCCCAGCACAACCAGCGGGGGGCCTGCCAGCCCCTCCCCCAGCCACGGGCTGCCCACCCCTCAACCGTCGGCGTTTCCTAACATAAATCACAGCCTGGCACGGTACATTCCCAGAAAAAACAAAAGAGGGACAAAAGCCCCGAGTTCTTGTTTACTCTAATTGGAGACCTTAAATAAAACCTTCCTTATTTAAGGTTTGTTTGTTTTTCTGAAAACCCAAAGCCGCTCGGATATTCTACTGACAATTATCATAATGCCCCGCTGGAAGCCGCAATTATTTCATTTAGGAGCAGCTTTTTATTAAGGTTTTTGTCTACTGCCAACATGCCACTTACACCAAAAAGAGGAGAGAACAACAGAGCCGGGACCCACAGACATCTCCTCGCGGGGCTGGGTAAAAAGGCAGCACACAGGACAGCACTGCGGCAGGGCCGATGATTAAGGAAACCGCCACACTCCCGCGCGCTCTTACCATCAGGAAGTCCATTAAAACTGAGAGCGCCAATTAAGACCTGTTTATTCCCGATCACATTTGGGCTCCAGGGAGTAATTGGCTTCCACGGGAGAAGAGGCCGGTGAGGACCCCTCTAATTGCCTAAATGCACCCTTGATATTTCTTGATTGGTGCTGTGGGGCGGCCGCGTGGCCGGGCAACCCGGTCGTACCTGCCCGCCTCCGTTGAGCCTGTTGGTGAGCTTGACTTTGCTGAAGGAGATGGGAGCTTTCATCCAGTGGGCCCCGAAGTTAGGGGAGTCTGGGTGGATGTAGACGCAGCTGTGGCTGGAGACCTCCGGCTTGCCCGCAGGCACCCACTCCCCATTGACATACTTCCAGCGGTGACTGTCCGTGGGGACGAAGTCCAGCAGGAGGGAGTACATGGCATTGGGGTCCAGCCCCGTGACACTGATCTTGAGGACAGGGAACATCCGTCTAAAAGGAAAGGCAGAAACTGAGTCACAGGAGGGATGTCAATGTGTGTGGGACACCTTGCGCCTCACCCAGCCGTCCCTCCACTCTCGGGAGACCTGCCCTGGAGTGCCCCAGGGCGCAGAGAATGCCCCAGGCCTGCAGCCCCAATTCCAACAGGGGCCTCTTCTTACAAATGCATGTCATTTTGGGGTTTTTACTTTAAACCATTGTGTTCTGTTTTAATGTCCGAAAACCACTGATCTCATCATTTGACAGAGGAGGCTGAAGCCCAAAGTTTGTCATCAGACGCCACAATCTCACAGAGACCTTTCTTCAAAGACGTCCTCCGGGTGCACATCAGTCTCCACATTAACGCCACAAACCAGTCCTTCCCCCACAAGGAACACCAGTGGGGAATGGCAGTAATAGCACAAACAGGGAGCAGGTGGTTTCACGGTTAAGGAGGTGAGGGAGCACTGGGCTTTACAGTTAGACCAATTCCTTCCCTGCATGACTTCTCAGAGCCTTTAATGTACTAATGCGCTCTACAAACCTCTGCAAAGATAGGGTCTGTGCACACACTGAACTGGTATGACTGTGGAACCATCCTTTCACTGAGCGTTTTGTGGGAATTTGAGCTCAAGACGCACCGACCTGGACTCCTTGGTCCTGCTGCTGCCCTCTAGAACAGCACTAGCAAGTTTGGTCTCACGCATTTGCAGAGGCCCCTCACTGGGCGTCTCATTCCCTCTGGTTTGTTTTTCCTTCGCCAAATGTACTAAGTTGCTCCAAATTATCCTTAAAAGACCTGGTTACTAGACACGCCCCCCCACCCGATTGCCCGAGACACTGGCTTATTTGTCAATACTTCTTAAAATCTGAATCCCCGAACTGAGAAGCTAACAGTCCCGAGTCTAGACACTTGCTGCTAAAGCGGCCCCTGAGCCAGCAGCACTGGTCCCTAACCAGCTGGAAGGTCATTCAAAATGCAGAACCTCAGACCTCACGCTACACCTGCTGGATCAGAAGCTGTGCTTTTCCAAAGTCCCCAGGCGAGTCACAGGAACGTTAACGCGTAAGATGTGCAGGTGTACAGCATCTTTAGCTTTTGAGAAAAAAACTCAGGAGATGTGCGAGGAGTGAGGGCGGGGCTGGCTCGTGGTCATTTGCAAGGAGACCCTGGCCTTGGGGCGCCTGGGTGGGTCACTCTGTGGGGTGTCTGCCTTTGGCTTGGGTCATGATCCCAGGGTCCCGGGATCATGTCCCCCATTGGGCTCCTTGCTTAGCGGGGGGTTTGTTTCTCCCTCTTCCCCTCCCCTGGTTCTTTACTTCTCTTGCTCTCTCTCAAAAATGAATCAATAACATCTTAAAAAAAAAAAAGATCCCTGGCCTTGGGATTATGATGGGAATGCTGACGGCTTGCTCCCTCTCTCCCTCGGCTCCCCAGAGTCGTCTCTCCCCTCCCCCAGCCTTGGCTCAAGGAGAGAAAATCTAAATAGGAGGTAGGGTGGGTGCGAGTGCGTGAACTACAAGCGACTCGCACGGGAAACCTGCATCTCGAGTCCAGGTCCTGCCTGATGCTGTGGGACTCACCTCCTCCCTCCTGTCCCTCCACGACATGACGGTGACTTTCCTGTAGAGGAAAATGATGGTCCTCCCCATGGGAGCTGCCTGTGGCATCGAAATTCGTCCCCTTGCATGTTTTTTGCTTTTTCTTCTATTCCTTTCTCGTCATATTCGATGAAACTACTCCCTTCCACAACATATTTTAACATTTTCAATTATTTTAATAATATTGGCCAAGTATAGAAAGCAGCAGCCCCCTGAAAGGCACAGATGCCATTTGCCAAGAATCACCAAAGCAGATATCAGACATGACCCCACGGGCCACACTGGGTCACTGTCACCGACGGGAGCCTGGCTCGTTTCTGTGAGGCACATGGAGAGACGGTCTGATTTCCGGTCTATGGCTTTTTCTGAAATGGTGAAGTTGTTTGGTCCGGTGTGGTTTGGTCAGGCATGAAATGTGTAATCGTAATTTCACATATGAAGTTAAAACGTACTGTAAGTTTTCTTGATAAGGATATGCAGTACATGTAAAGGTAAAAAAAAAAAAAAGAAAGCTCATATAACGTATCTTCGTCATACACTGAACTGGCAGAGTAAGGACACAGCCCCTCAAGCATGTGGCATGGCTGTCATCTTCAGGGCATGAAATGTTAAGAAGTTTCCTACAATTCTGCCTTAAGACTGAAGAGATGATTTGGAGCACCTGAGCGGCTCAGTCGGTTAAACATCTGCCTTCAGCTCTGGTCATGATCCCAGGCTCCTGGGATCGAGTCCTGTGTCCAGTCCTTGCTCGGTGGGGATCCTGCTTCCCTTCCTCTCTCTCTGCCTGCTTCTCTGCCTATTTGTCAAATAAATAAATAAAATCTTTTTAAAAAAAAAGAGTTAAAAAAAGTAATAATAAATAAATGTAGAAGATAATTTTAAATTGCAAGAGCGTTATGAAGGAACAACAGTGGGTGATGTCACAGAGGGGAATTAAGAGTGAGAAACTGCTCTAGATGGATCTTAGCAGGTCCAGGGGGGACAGTAAGCTAAGACCAAGTAAGGAGAAGAAATGAACCCTACAGACGCCGGAAATGACTCTATAAAAGCAACTATACACGAAAAGAACAGCAAGTACATGGTCCTGGGGTCCAGATAAGCCTGGACCATTGAGGACTACTGAGGAAAGAGAAGATTAGGGTGACTAAGGCAAAATGAGGGGGGAAACCTGATTATCATTTGTGCTCTCCTAGCTGTATCACGCTAGGTCTCACAAAGAATGTAGCATGACCTTTAATTCCAGAATAAGGGAATGTGTCATGGCTTTTCTCCTTTCATGCTATGTTCAGGAGCCACACCTGATGTTCTCAAGAACCTGTGACCACACGAAAAGATTCTCAACATCGTCAGCCATCAGAGAAATGCAAACCGAAAGTGCGGTGAGAAATCACTTCCCATTCACGAGGATGTCTGTGGTTAAAAAGTGGACAGTAGCAAGTGTTGCTGAGGCTGCAGAGAAACTAGGAGCCTCGAACACAGCTGGTGGGGATGCGGAACGGTGGGACCACTCTGGAGAACAGTCCGGTAACTCTGCTGGTTACAGACAGAGCTGCCATGGGACCCCACAATTCCACGCCTGCACACGCATGCGAGAGACATGAAAACACACAAAATCTTGTACACAAATGTTCACAACAGCGTTATTCATAAGAGCAAAGAAAGTGGACACAGCCCACGTGCCCATCTACTGATGAATGGGTAAACAAAACAGGGCCCATGTGCACAAGTGAGTATGATTTGGCAATAAAAATGCTACAGCACAGCTGAACCGTGAAGACACGACGCTCAGGGAAAGGGTCACAAGGGACCACCTATTGCATGATTCCACTCATACGAACTGTCCAAGTCAGCAAATCCAGAGACTGAAAAAGATTCGTGGGTGCCAGGGCCAAGCAGGATGGGGGGACTTGGGGGATGATGGCTAGAGATGCAGGATTTCTTTTGTGGATAATGAAAATGTTTAAAAAATTATTTGTGAGCATATATGTGTAACTCTGTGAATATAGCAAAAATCACCAAATTGTACGCGCTTTCAGTGGGTGAGCTGTACGGCACATGAATGATCCCAGTAAAACTCTTTTTAAAAGAAAAGAAAAAAGATAAACAAAGAAACCATAGTCCCTGGATTTTAGAAGGACACATCTGAAAAGTTACAGAATGGAGCCGGCTGGTAGCTCAGTCGGTTAAGTGTCTGACTCTTGATCTCAGCTCAGGTCTTGATCTCAGGGTTGTGAGTTCAAACCCCGCATTGGGCTCCATGCTGGGTGTGGCGTCTACTTAAGGGGGGGGGAACTTTGTGAAAACGTACATAATGGTTTATTGCTTTATTCTCTTTAGTACTTGTCTACCAAGAATTTTATGATTATTTCTATTTTGTTACACAGCTACACCTGTGGTGAGCATAGCATAATGTATAAACTTGTCAAACCACTATGTTATACACTTAAAAATCAGATAACACCATATCTATCTACTCAAATAAAAAAACTTATTTTAAAAATACTTTTGTTCTTTTATCGCCACACGAATGAACTAAGAGATGCTATGAATTTTTTAACCTCCATTATCCCAGCAAGGAACAAGGAGGTCTGTCACCTTGCTAAGAGTCCGGTAACCGGGGCGGGAGCTCAGCCCAAGTCTAGGCCAAGTCCAGACCCTGAGCCTCGTGTCCACGTCACCCTCCACGTCACAAGGAGCAGGAGCACTGTCCAGGAGAGTCCGTGCCCTCACGCGCGGGCAGCACGCACCCGGCTTTGTCCTCCAGGGTGAACTGCACATCTACCCCAGCCAGCCTTTCCTCTTTCCTTTCCAAGGGACGGCTAACCACAGAGAAGCCCCAGCGCCTCTGGGGATCTGGTAAACATGTACATTGGCCCCTAATTCGGGAGTGGAGGGGAAGGAGAGAGAAGGGGGAGGAGAGCGAGCTAGCGCAAGGACCAAGAAAGCAGACGTGGATGGAGGAACGAGCGCTCCCCGAAAGCCCGAAAGCCTGAGGAACCGCAGGTGGCTGGGTTCTACCGTGAGCTCCCTGCCACGGCGCCAGGAGGCCGGTCTCTGGCTTCTGCGTTCCTCACAGGCGATCTCAAAAGCCAGGGCTGCTGACGGAGGCTATGAGGAGTGAGGTCTGCGGGAAGGAGGCAGCTTTTGCAGATGGGGGGAGCAGAGACAGTTGAAGGTAAAACTCACTCACTCCCGTAAGCACCTTCCTCTGTCTCCTCCCAGAATTGCAAGAGACCGAAACAGCGGGTCAGAGGCAGATTACACAGACACAGAGGACCCTCAGGGATTGTGCCCGTAAACCTGGAGGGAGTGTCTGGGGCTACAGGGCATGGAAATGTATTTGCCTGATGCACAAGCTCCATCTCCCCTCTCTCCTCCCCGTCCCCGCATCAGCTCGCTGCCCTGAATCGCCCAGCAAATCCGACTTAGGATTCCCAGCGCATATTTTTGGATAACAAACGGACGTCTCAGTTACATTCGAGATGCTTCCAACTTCTGAAAACCTGCTGGAGGCAAATCCGATCAGAATTGAGTCGAAATTATTCAACTGCATGGAAATACCTGTGAAACAGAGCATCTTCCGCTAACATGGAGATGTTTTAGTAAAGAAAACAAGAGGTGCAAGAGATTTCACAGATTTGCCTCAGAGCCTCAAATTAGTTTCTTTCCTTCAACCTACAATCGAAGTTCAAGTTCGCTGCTCAAAGGACAGGAAGGAAAGGGAGGATTCACCAGCCAGACGCACTACAGAGGGTGCGAAGGGAGGTTGTCACAACTGCTGCTGTGTGGAAAACAAACTCACATTTAAAAAGAGGGAAGGGAAAAAGCAGGGAAAGAAAAGGAGGGAGGGGGGAGGCAGGAGAGATGGAGGGAAGAACGAAGGTGGTCAGGATCCCAGCTTCTGGGGATAAAGCGCAGGAGAACCCTCTCTTTCCCACCTCTGACCTGTCAGAGGCAAGCCTCCTACTGGCACGCACTGACGGGTCTCCTTCTGAAACCCAGACTGAACTCTTCCATCAGTCCATCCTATGTTATTTCAAAACTTTCTCTTCTTTTAATTTTATTTAAAATCAGTTAATTCACATACCGTGCATTCCTAGTTCCGGAGGTGGAATCTGGGGACTCATCAGTTGCATGGAACCCCACGCTTCTCACTTCCCATGTCCTCCTTAACGCCCCTCACCCAGTTACCCGTGCCCCACCCCTTCCCTCCAGCATCCCTCAGTTTGTTTCCCAGAGTTCAAGCTCTTATAGCGGACAGGAACTACCTGATGACCCCCGCTGATGCTTCTAGAAATCCAGAGTCTGCCCACAGGGGCGGCAGGCTATGTGAATGAAAGGGGCCGGAGCCGGGTGTTAAGCTTCTCCGCAGAGAAGGGCTGCGGGGGCAGGTGCCCTGAGCTCAGGAGTTCGTGTGAAAGGCAGGGGTGAAGCATCTGGAGGAGACGGGCTGGGTCTGCAAGCGGAGGACAGTGGGCACAAAGGAGACCTACAAGAATAGACCCATAAGAGAAGAGGGACCGGAAACAAGAGCTTTCTGTATCGAGAACAGTAAGAAGTTGCTAACAATTTAAACCTGTGATAACAAGAGACTGAGAGTAATTTCAGGCCAACCTCATTCATTATCAACACATCCATTTCTTAGACGTGCGTCTCCCTTCTTTTATCTGAAGTGTAAAGGGAACTGTTTCCTGGCAAAACCTTGACCCTAAGGGGTTCAGAGACCATAATGGAAACTAAGAGAGGATTCAGTTCACTGGAGAAGGGGAAACGGCAGCAGGGCCTCCATGCACAGCAACAACAAAGTTGACTGTAATGAGACGTTTCTACAGAATATTTCACATATTTAATATCAAAGGACATTAAACGGGAAGAATTTTACATTTTAAATAAGCAGAAAAAACGATATAGGTGAACACGGGCAAGAGAAAGCTCTTCCTAAATTGTGAAAGAACATCCCAGTGTGTCCTATCATTAACCTGGATCTTAAATGGCTTCAGAAACTGTATTTCTTCCTCATTGGAATAGATGGACTGTATTTTTACTTGGTGATTGTGCTTATTGTACTCTCACAGATGGCGCCTGGACAGCCAAATGGAGAGTGTGAGGCTGGATGTTGGCACAAACACTATCCACTAAACACAAGGGATGAACCACAGTCACTCCCGCCTACTACTGGACAGAACTTCTCCAACCGCAGCATCATTCAGCTGCGAAAGGAAAGGAAGTAAATCCAACTAGAAATGTGGGGCTGATTCTTTGATATTAAAAACATATTTTTGGAGCGCCTGGGTGGCTCAGTGGGTTAAAGCCTCTGCCTTCGGCTCAGGTCATGATCTCAGGATCCTGGGATCGAGCCCCACATCGGGCTCTCTGCTCAGTGGGGAGCCTGCTTCCCTCTCTCTCTGCCTGCCGCTCTGCCTGCTTGTGATCTCTCTCTGTCAAAGAAATAAATAAAATCTTAAAAAAAAAAAAAAAGATCTTTAAAAAAAAAGAGTAGGCACGGAGATCGTTACAAATGCAAATATTAAAAGTAACAAATCCGATATATGAAACAAGTAGGGGACCCATTTAGAGTCAGAAAACAGAAATATCAAGCTCGTTTGGTTGGTATTCCGAGCGGGTTTAATATTCTTTCTACTAGGAGTGATCACAATGTATTGAAATGCCCTTATTTCTGGCACACCTTCCCCTCACAGAGCACTTCAATGCCATGCAAAAGCGCTAGAGTTCACAATTCTCCCAGAGAGACAAGGGATGGTTCATTTCTACAGTGTGGATTTTATCTGAAAATAGGAAACCAAGGCATCGAGAAAGGAAGCATTTTGCACAAGGACAAAAGCTCGCCAGAAACCCTGCCGGCCTCAACTTTTCTCTCGTAGCACAATGTCTCCTGAGGGCCGCAGCTGGAGCCCTGCGGACCCTAACCCTGCCACGCTGAGGCGCCTTCTGATCTTTGTACTTCTTGACCTTGCGAGCCAAAGGGTCTGTGAGCAGCAGCTGAATGCCGGGAGCCAGTCTGGCCAAGCTGCGGGCAGAGAGACTGTCTGCCGAGCATGTGCGTTTCCTCTGGAGTGAGAGCTCCCACCGTGACCTTGACAGCCACTGAGCAGGTCTGGACCTCACAGAACCCAAGCAAGGCCCGCAGAGATGGGTTGCTGCTCATCTCTAGCTGGCCGCACTGAGAAAAAAGAAGGCATCTTCCCTCTTCTCAGGCAGCGCACCACGGCCTCAGGCAGTGTCCTTGCCACGGCTCTCACGTCGTCACACACACACACAATGTCCCACGAGCACACACCACACACACACCAGGAAGCCGAGGGAGCGATGGGCAGCGAGATGACGTTTGCCCTTTGGTTCCCCTTCTTCAGCTGGTCCCGGATTTCTGGCAAGTTTGCTGTGCTTAAGAGGAAACACTCAGCTTCCAAATAAAGTTGACTTTCACCTCATCTGAACAGAGTCGGAGCTCAGGTCTGCTCCAGGACAGGCAGTGAGTCAGAAAATAATAGTAATTTCGGGCTAACCTCCCTAACCCGTGGGGCGTGGCCCACGTGGGCTGCCTTCCCGCAATCTCTCCGGTGAACACGCACGCAAGCTGACTTCACCCTCCGCCTCCGTTGATCTCGGGAAATTAATTAAGTTGGCTGGGGAAAGCCGAGTGAGACTGTCCTTCTGAGCATTGTCATCAGCCCTTGCTGCCTCTGAGTGAAGACGGGCAGCCTCTTCGATAGTCGGGGGGCTCGCCGCCCTAGCCGAGCCCTCCCAGCCCAAGCAGGCCAGCGGAGAAACTCACCTGCCATTCTTGGTCACGATCATCTCGTTAGTGACTTCCTTGAATCTCTGCCAGAGAGGGGCGTCCTCCAGGATGACCTGAAGCTGCTTCTCCGTAGGGTCACCTTTCTCCCTCCCGGCCTGTAGCTCACTTTCCACCACGTTGAGGAGGCGAGACACGGTGCCATCGCTGCTCTTCTGGCTGCCCAGCTCGCTCATGGCCACAGGCCCCTCTCAAACTTGGCTGGGAAGCGTCACCCCTCTCGCCTGCTACCACCTCCTTCCTCCCCTCACTTGCCTGCTTTTCAAACCCAGCTGGGCAGTGTCTGGGGAGCTGGAGAGAAGATGCCGGGCCCTTGCCTAAGCCCCTAGCATGACACCCCTTAAAGTCTCCAAATTATACCACCAACCTGTTAAGCTCCAGTGGGGAGGGGAGGGCGGGGGGAGGTAGGAGAAAAAGCCCTCTCTTAATTACTCCTCGGATCAGGTGGGGGACAGCCTGGCTCTCCCATTGGCTGCCAGGCACAGAATAGACATTTAAGAAGAGTACTCCATCCAAATCATCAGGCTTTTATCTTGTTGTACCTGAAGAGGTCTAATCACTGTTTTGAGGACCATTTTCCCATTAATTAAAATTGTTCCAGGCCCAGACAGCAACAATCAGACAAATCATGTTTGTGTATAGATCGTGGCGTGCGGCACCTATAGGAGAAGTCCTGGTGGGGACCGGCAAGCTTGATGCCAAAGCGGCTTTCCGGACACAGTCGAGAACCCAAATCCCGCCGCTCTCTAGCAGCCCCAAAGAGAAGAGCGTGGGTTGTGCCAGGAACAGGACAGCTGCGCCCAAGAGTGAAGGAAGGGGCTCTGTGCACCCCCACCCGAGGATCAAGATCCAGAGAAAAGGAAAGTGGACCTAAGGTCTCCTTCTCCCCGGGCACCCCCCACTGCTCCTCTCCCCGCTGAGGGATCCTATCCTGTGCACACGCACGCCCGCTCATCCCAAAGGCCCTCAGCGTCTCCGGCAAACGGGACTCCGAACCTTGTCCTTCCTCCCTAGAATCCAAAGCCCCAATTTGCTTTTCTCTAGCCCTCGCCAGAGAGAGGAAAAAAACTCATTTAGCATATTACTCTCTCTCTACGGAGGCATTCTTCCCTCAGCGACTGAAAATAAGCTGCTGACATTACAATGCTGGGCAACTTTGATCCAGAAGGATCAGGAGGATCCAGAAGGGCCCTCTGGCTTTCCTGGTAGACAGTCCACGACCTACCTGGCATTCCAGGATGGATTCCCACATTCCCAGATAATACACTACCAGTAGAAAATGCTTCTTACCCGTAACACAGAGTAAACCTGGGGAGGTGCAGGAAAGGACAGGGGTCGCTCGCTCTACCTTCCCAACCCAGAGTAGACCCTGGGGGTTACGAGCTTTTCCCTCACGACAACAACAGCAGCATCAAAATGAGAAGGAAAAACAAAAGCAAAAATGATAACACAAAGTGCACTCAGGACAGTACATTCAGTACTTAAAATGTATTCGGGGCAGGGACCCTGGGAGGCTCCGTGGGTTAAGCTTCTGGCTCTTAGTTTTGGCTCAGGTTCTGGTCTCAGCGTGTGGGTTCCAGCCCTGTGTTGACCCGAGGCTCAGCACTCAGCAGGGAGCCTGCTTGAGAGTCTCCCTCTGCCCCTCCCCCCAGGCTCGCACTCTCTCTAAATAAACAAATAAATCTTTAAAAAAACAAAAGCACCTAAATATACTCTAACTGTATGACCCAGCAATCACTTTCCTTGGTATTCATCCAAAGTTGCTGAAAATTTATGTTCAAACAAAAACCTGCACAAAGAGGGTTTTGGGTTTTTTTAGATTTTATTTATTTATTTATTTGTCAGAGAGAGAGAGAGAGAGCGCCCACACATGCACAAGCAGGCAGAGGGAGAGGGAGAAGCAGGCTCCCCGCCGAGCAAGGACCCTGATGCGGGACTCGAACCCAGGACCCTGGGACCATGACCTGAGCCAAAGGCAGCGGCTTAACCGACTAGGCCACCCAGGCATCCCACGGAGAGGTTTTTAGTAGCTTTATTCACACTTGCCAAAAGTTGGAAGCAAACAAGATGTTTTTTAATAGGTGAACGGGTAAGTAAACTGTGGTCTGTCCAGACAAAAGAATATTATTCACCACTAAAAAGAAAGGAGCTATCAAATATGAAAAGACATGTCTTGTGTTAGATACTTCAGAGGGAACCACGTAAAACTGCAGATACTCACCCTCTGTTTTACCTGAAAAAAACTAAACATCGATTTCCTATGGGTCAACCTAATTCTTGGGTTTGAAACTAATATAAAATGCCTTGACTGATACGTCAATATAGTGCCATTTTACTTAAATTGTTCTCTAGTTTTTATCTTATTATAAATGACTCTGAGAAACATAAGCAAGAAAATAAGAACTACCCACAATCTCAACACCCAGAAACGACCTCTGTTGACGAGTCTGGCATAGACATCTTTCACCTACAAATACACACATACTTTCTGCTTTATAAAAAAATGGGATTTAGGGGCACTTGGGTGGCTCAGTGGGTTAAGCCTCTGCCTTCAGCCCAGGTCATGATCTCAGGGTCCTGGGATTGAGCCCCACATTGGGCTCTCTGCTCTGCGGGGAGCCTCCTTCCCCCGCTCTCTCTCTGCCTGCCTCTCTGCCTGCTTGTGATCTCTCTCTCTGTCAAATAAATAAAATATTTTTTAAAAACTGGGATTTAAAAACAGCATGGCAGATGGAACACACGCTTTTATATCTGCTCCCCACCAAGCCCCTCTAAAATGGCTCCAAGGAAATAAAAAATGTAAGCCCACGAAGTCGAGACATAGAGAAGAGGAAATGGGGGCAGGTAAGAGATGTCAACCAATGCTGGAAACTGACGAGATAGACGGCTGGGTGGTGACAGATGGGGCAGATCTGAGAAAGCTGAATCTTGGCTCTGCAGGCAAACGCCCGTGAGAAGCAAGCCGATGTGAGCCACAGGACTCGGAAATGTCTCGGGCACTGGGTACATCACATACGTCTAAAATAGAGGGTGGGTGCTTCTGGCTAGGACCAATCAGGAAAGGGTCTTGAAAGTTTAGAGAAGCAACAGTTAACTTTTTTGAGATCCCCAGCCCTCCGCCAGGCAACTGTCTCTCCCCTGTTGCAGCAGAAAACAAGAGACTGACTTTCAGGAGAGAGAGGGTCTGAGGGGATTTGTACTCAGAGACAACAGTCACTGACGGGGACAGCGGTGAGGACCATACTGAAATCAGAGGGCGAAGACACACTCCTTAGGTAACAGATCTGAGGAGTCCTCAGTGAAACGACCCATCCCCAGTCACTACTGATGCCAATCAGATGGGGGAAGCCGAGGTGGGGGAAGCCCCGCCCATGCACACAGGCATCCTCTCAGCATTTACGTAACTCACCCTTAAATACAACCACACACTCCATCAAATTTCAGACATGCCGGTCAGACCAAAAGAAAAAACTAAATTAAGGAAGGAATCTGAGGAAACAGAGACCATTCTGTAATCTCACCTAAGACTTGGAGTCCTTTTCCAACCTCATTCAGGTTGTTGGCAGAATTCTGTTCCTTCTGGTTGAAGGACTAAGGCTCCTAGAAGCCACCCCTCTCCATTACCATTTCAGAAAATTGTCTGTTTGCTTTTTTCCTCCAGGCCAGAAGGAGAACATCTGCTGCTGCTTTGTTTTGCTTTTAAGAGCTGAAATGATTCAGTCAGACCTACCCAAGATGATCTCCCTTATATTAAGCCACAGTCAAATAATTAGAAATCTTAATTACATCTGCAAAGTTCTTTTTGCCATATAAGGTAATGTCATAACAGAGATACCTCATCATCTTCAGAGGTCCTGCCGACACTCAAAGGGAGGGGATTACATGGGGCATGTCCACCAGGGACAGAAATTTTGGCAGCCACCTTCAAATTCTGCCTCAGAGTACATTAAAAATAAACAAGCAAGAAAACAGTGGAAAATCTGAAGCAACTACAAACTATCAGGGAAAAAACAAGTTGTCCAAGAAAGAAGTGTAATCACAGCATACTGTGGCTTAACTGGAAACACAAGTAAAATAAATACTAAATATTGATTTAAACAAAAATCTTATTAAGATGACGAGCAAAGGAGAAATTTATATTGTAAGGAGAAGGGGATGCTAAATTCTCATCTCCTATAGTGTGAAGATAGTAAATAATGTCTAAAGTTGAAAAAGCAAGAAATAGCAGTATAGGTATGTCTAGAAATCCAGAAAAAACTGACAGAAATAACAGCAAAAAGAGAGGAAAGTGATCGCCTCTAGAAAAAGAGACGAAAGCATTTTCTTTCTTGTAGTAAGTTTTTAACCTTATGAGTAAATAAAACACTAATAAAATTTATTTTATAATCCAATTTTTAACAGTTTATAAGAATATTTTCCAATGTTATCAAATAATAGTTTACATTATTATTTTAAAGTTTATCAATCATTCCATCCTAGGAATGAATCATGTTTTATTTAACCTATTTTCCCTATCTTCTACTCTTTTTTTTTTTAAGATTTTATTTATTTATTTGTTAGAGAGAGATAAAGAGCACAGGCAGGCAGAGTGGCAGGTAGCAGCAGAGGGAGAAGCAGGCTTCCTGCCGAGCAAGAGGCCGGATGTGGGACTCAAACCCAGGACCCTGGGATCATGCCTGAGCCAAAGGCAGCCACTTAACCAAATAAGCCATCCAGGCATCCCCCTATCTTCTACTCTTAAATATTTACTGGTTCTGTGGGTTTCTTTTTTATAATTTTAAACAATTTGACAAAAATTTTAGACAATAAGTATTTGGGAATATCCATGATTATTTTCTTACACTGTATTCTCAGAAATAATGCTAGTTGATGAGAACAAAATACGCTAAGCACTTCATATGCACTATCTCACTTAATCCTTGCAACAATTCTATAAGGTCACTGCTATGATTATATCCATTTTTGGGTGAGAAAAAATGAATCTCAGAGTGGTTTTAAGTAATTTGCCCACAGGCATAACCCGTGAATAGTAAAGCCCGTACTGGAGCCCAATGAGTAGTTTATTCTTTTAACCATTATGTTGTACTAAGTACTTACTAAGTACCTGGCACTGCACGATATGCTTGTATGTATAACCTCATGTAATATTCATAACCTGGTAAAGAATCCTTGCCACCACCACCTTTTTTTTTTTTTAACCCACTTAGCCACCCAAGTGCCCCTACCTTTTTTTTTTTTTAAACGGGGAGGGCACTCAGGCTCTGAGGCATTACATATCCTGCTTATGACACATACAAGGTAAACGGTAAAGCCATTTCAGTCTGAGTTATCACTCCAAAGGCTATTGTTATTTTTATCTACT